TTGGGGGGGGGTCTCACTGATCCCTGCGCCTCCCCCCCAGCTTGCCCATGCCATCCGCCTGCTGCTGGAGTACACGGAGACGCCCTACGAGGACAAGCTCTACAGCTGCGGGGAAGGTGAGGGGGGGCCGGGGGTCCCACACCACCCTCCAGCCTTCTGGCTTTTGGGGGGATGGGCACAGTGTCACTCAACACCCCCCTCCTCCTCCTTCCAGCTCCCGACTACGACAAGAGCCAATGGATCAATGAGAAGGAGAAGCTGGGGCTGGACTTCCCCAACGTAGGTGGTCTGGAGGGTGGTGGGGTGGTGGTGGTTATGGGGTGGGTGCCCTGGTGGCCCCATGCCTTGATGTCCCCTCCAGCTCCCTTACTTCATTGATGGCACCACCAAGCTGACGCAGAGCAATGCCATCATGCGCTACATTGCCCGCAAGCACAAGATGTGTGAGTGCTGGGGTGGCCGTGGGCTTGAGTGGGCTTGGAGTGACCTTGGGTTTGGAGTGGGCTTGGAGTTGGGTTGAGTTGGGCTTGGAGTGGGCTTGGGCTTGGAGTTGGGTTGGGGTTGGAATGGGCTTGGAGTTGAGTTGGGCTTGGAGTGGGCTTGGGCTTGGAGTACGCTTGGAGTTGGGTTGGGTTGGGCTTGGAGTGGGCTTGGGCTTGGAGTAGGCTTGGAGTTGGGTTGGACTTAGAGTGGGCTTGGGCTTGGAGTTGGGTTGGGTTGGGCTTGGGGGGCACCCCCCAGTGCTGACGTCTTCCCATCCTGCAGGTGGTGAGACGGAGGAGGAGATCCTCCGTGTGGACATGCTGGAGAACCAGATCATGGATTTCCGCATGAGCCTGGTGATGGTCTGCTACAACCCCGACTTCGTGAGTGCCCCTCTTCTGCAGGGTTTGGGGTCCAGGCCCGGGCTGGGGTCCTCCCTGGCCCTGCCTTGGGTTGCATCACGTGGGGAAGGTGCTGTCCCCTGGGGTGGGGGGACCAGGGTGCCCAGCCTCACCCCTCCACCCCTTCCTCTTGCAGGAGAAGCTCAAGCCGGGCTACCTGGAGCAGCTCCCGGGGAAGCTGAAGCTCTTCTCCAACTTCTTGGGGGACAGAAAGTGGTTTGCAGGGGAGAAGGTACCACTGGGACCCTGGAGGGGGGCAGGGGTGTGTGTTTTTGTCCCCAGGCTGGTCCTCACCATGTCCCCCCCTCCCGGCCCCAGCTCACCTTCGTGGACTTCCTCATGTTTGACGTGCTGGAGCAGAACCGCATCTTCGAGCCCAAGTGCCTGGAGCCCTTCAAGAACCTCAAGGACTTCATGGATCGCTTTGGGGTGAGCTGGGCCACCCCAGACATCGCCCTCCTCACCCTGGGGGAAGGACCCCCGGCCCTCGAGGGCACCCAAGGGTGGGGGGTACCCTGGTGGGACGGGTCCCTGAGGCTGCCCTTGCCCCCACAGGCCCTGGAGAAGGTGGCTGCCTACATGAAGTCCAGCCGCTTCTTGAAGATGCCCATCAACAACAAAATGGCCAAGTGGGGCAACAAGAAGGAGTAGGGGCCTGGCGTGGGGCGAGGGGAGCTGGGGGGGATCCTGACCCGACCCCCCCAGCACCCTGCAGCGGGGGGGGTGGGGTGGGTACCGCTGGCGTGAAGCCCCCTGAGGCAATAAAGTGCTTTAGATGTGGCACCCTGAGCCCCCCGAGTGCTGCGGCGTGGGGGGG